CGACATTCACAACGACATTCCTCCCTTCCTTCCTTCCTTCCTTCCTTCCTTCCTTCCATCCATCCATTATCAGCTCCTTCCACCCCCCTCCCCCTCCCCTCCTTCCATTCTGTACACTGTCTAAATAGATGCACTTTAATGCCTCTTTCCTCACAGGGAAAGTGGAAGCAGCTGGACTAGCATGGCTACAGGTTTTTAAATAAGCTAGTTTTTCCATCCCATTCCAGCCTTGTCTTTGTCTCAAGTCACAGACAGGAAGGATAGGAGTCTTGGTTGCAAAAGAATAACAATGAGCTCTTGGTCTGTTAATCAGGTGGTCCTCCAACACACACACACACACTCTCTATCACACACACACACACACACACACACACACACACAGAGAGAGAGAGAGAGATCCCTCTTAAGCTCCAGTGAGTCATCAGGGAAGCATCCCATGTCTCTGCCTCCTGGTCTTTAAAATCTCCTGCCTTGTGTAGGTGGAGAGAAGGCGACAATACCACACGTTGCCAACTGCAGCATGAAGCCGTGTAGGAAGAGGGTGCTCTCACTGCCCGCGGTCCCTTCCCCCTTGCACACCCCTCCTCCTGCCACCCTATCAATAGCGGTGCTCATCCTCCTTCTCCAGGTGATCTTTGCTGCATGGGATCCGTGAGCCCCATGAAAAGGAGAGGAGGCACACGTAGGGATGTGCTAGCCTTCGGGAGACTCTGGTCTCCTTCCTGGACCAGCAGCTGGTCTCCGTCCAGGGAGGCAGGTCAACAGTCTAATTGGACAAGAGAAGAACAGATCAAGGATCGGGGAGCGAGAGGTATCAGCAGGCCCAATATTTGATTTCTAACCTCCTAGGTTCTGCCTTGAAAGAGATACCCGAGGAGGAAGGCGATACCGCCTTTTCGCTTTTCCGCACCATAACGCTCTTTGCAATAAAGACTAGGCTTCTGTCTCAGTCTAGGTATGCTTTTGACCCCTGAGTGGGTCTCCGTGCAGGTTAAAGGGAGGGGGAGGGAATGAGAGAAAGGGCCTGTGCCTATATCTCCGGGTCACCCACCCCGTCCACCCCTTCGTGTCCCTGCGATGACCGAGCTTGTAAGCAGCCTTTTCCTCTAGCACTGATTTTTGAGATCTCCAGCCAGGCAGGTCAGGTTCCATTCTGCCAGAGCCAAGAGGCTTCAGGGAAGGTTTTGGGGGGCCTCAATCAGAACGTGAGCCCCTGAACGTTTACAGGCAGAGTTTTGTGAGGGTTGCCTTCAGCTCCTCGCTCCCTGGCCGGCCAGAGGACCAGCCTACCCTGCATCCCTCTCCCGGTTGGCCACCCAAGGCTTCCTGGCTGCCCGGCAGCGGGCTGTCTTTTCCTTCCTTGCTGGGCACCTGCTGACCAGAAAACATTCTCGCATCATTGATCGGTGCAAAGTCCTGCCTCCCTGGGACGTGGGGGGGGGGCTGAAACCTGACCAGAAAACCTGAGGAGGGATTTTTCCCCCTCCTCTTTTCTGTCTCTTCCATCACCTGCATCAGAGCCTGGCATGTAGGAGAGCTCATTGGAGACCATGACGCGTGAGGTGCAAAGGGTAGCCTTGTTGCTTTCAGTGACCAGGGACTAAAACAGACCCATCGACTGTGAAGTGAGACACACAGAGAGAGAGAGAGAAAGAGAGAGAGAGAGAGAGAGACTCATGCTTCCCTGGCTCAGCCAGAATACCTGGGGAGGGGTACTTAGGCCACCTCTTTTCAACTGTGTCCCCTCCCCATTCCTACCTGCTGCATTGCAGGGGTAATAAATGGGCCTACTTTACAGGGGTGTCGTGAGGATTATAAAGACCAGCTATACAAAGGTCTGGGAATGCTCCCGCCCTTACATGGATGAGGGTGAGGAGGAAGAGGAGAATGAAGCTGACACATTCAAAGGGGGGGGGGTCCTGAATTTGCCTCAAGGTCATTCCTGGAAGACTAGCGATTAGGTTGCATTCAACTTCCGAAACACAAGGGATTGTGGCTCCAATCCTGGTGAAAGGGTAGTCCTCAGGGCAGGAAGCTCTCTTCCCCACCCCCCAGACAAAGTATTTCTTTCTTTCTTCTATACCATCAGCCATTTCAGGGGCCAGACCCTCCCAGACCAAGACACAAAGAGGGGGGGGGCTGCAAGGGTGCCACCAGCAGACAGTCAGACAGACTTAACCCTTGCAAAGAGGGGAACCGGGGCAAAGCAGCCGTGGTGTTCTTGGCTATGGCAGGGCTCCCGGAAATCTCCTGACTGCCGTTGGTGGTTCTTGAGGTGTGAGAAGAAGCCTTCTCTTGGTGCACTTTCTAGCAGAACCTGATCCTGAGATGCTCCTTAAGAGAAGCCCATCTTTGCTCAGGAGGACGTTTGGAAAGTTACCTTTAAGACAGGACAAAGACAATTTAAGACTAATCAGAGAGGAGGAGTCTGCGGAAGTCAGCTGGAATGAATTACCTGGAAAGGTACTGGAGTGTCCTTTGCCAGAGGTTTTTAAACAGAGAACAGACGGCTCTCTGTTGGGCGTGCTTCGGCTGTGGCCTCCCTGTGTTCAGGGAGGTGGGCTTAGGGGTCTCTTCCAGCTCAGCAACTTTTTGAGCAAACAATACGCCAGGGAGGCTCCTGCCTACAGTGCTCAGTTGGGAGTGGCTTCAGCAGTTGCAGAATCCATTCCTCTGAAAAGTGGATGTACTGTGTACTCTGAAAAGCAGGCGTCGTACTCGGATATGGTGATCTTGCGTGGCTTTGTTCCTGTCAACGCTGTAAATGGTGCCCAGAATTGGCCAGGGAGTCTGAACCAAGACTCTCTCGCTCATTCCCAGGTGGCAAGGACTGGTGGGAGGAAAAAAGTGGGGCCACCAGGAGACTTCCCCAAACACAGAAATGTTGTTTGACTCCAGAAGCTAAGCAGCTTCAACCCTGGTCAGGACTTGGGTGAGCCCTTGTGATGTGCAGGGACGGTTAGGGGAAGGAAACTGACCTGAAACGTGACAGAGCCATGGCTGCCTGGCCAGAGGGCCTGGCAGCTCTGAAAAAGTCAGCTGCCAATGCTGTAGCATCTCATCCATAAGTTTAGCTTTTTTTTTCAAAATCCTGTTTCCCCCTCTGATCATTGAAGGATGGAATTCACCAGGGCTCAAGGCTTCCGAAACCGTTTCCAAAGTTGCATCTCTCAAGCTGTTTCCTGGCCAAGGACCTTTCGTAGATTAAATGCCCATTAAAAGCACAAGAGCAACCTTGGCTATTTTATTTTTCTAGGAGCTACCTGTAGCACAAAGGCCTCCTTTCAGCCGATCCGACATTTGGAGATACATTTCTGCCTCGTAAAATACATGAGAGCAGCCGAGGGCTGGGCAGGCATCCCTGCTCATTGCCTGATGTTTGTTTCTGATACAGAGTTTGGGTTGACACCGTGCAGGACACCCCATGAAGCAGCTCATGAGAGAAGCCTGGAGGCGCGTTTTTCTCCCCAAAGAAAAATTCTGACTGTGTCCCAAATCATTCCAGGAAAAGCGGACAGGCTGGTGCGCCAACGAGCGAGCTAGAACCCAGAGGCAGCCAGGGAAGCCCCCAAGCAGCGTCTACAAGCAGAGAAGGAACAAGGGAGAAAAAAATCCTGGACTGAGGGCAAACTCATGCCTTTGAGAGGGAAACTAGTTACAGTAACGAGAACAGATGAGTTTGGAAAAGGAAAAAGCCGCGGGCAGGTCCGGCAACAGTCCTCTGCCACGACACTGAGGTGGAACCTCCATGTGCCAAAGTAGTATAGCTGCAAATATCCCATGGTAGTGGGCAAA